GCTTCGCCCCACCTCATCCCCCTTTAACACTCCTATACTGGCTGTCAAAAAATCTAACGGAACTTATTGTTTGGTTCAGGACCTCCGGCTCATCAATTCTGCTGTCGTTCCTTTACACCCAGTGGTACCCAATCCTCTCACACTTCTGTCTAACATTCCTTCAGGGACCTCCCACTTTTCAGTCTTAGACCTAAAGGATGCCTTTTTCTGTATTCCTCTCAGCCCTCAGTCTCAGGACATCTTTGCCTTCACCTGGACAGATCCTGATACTAATTTCTCCACACAACTAACCTGGACCGTTCTCCCTCAGGGATTCCGGGACAGCCCACACCTCTTTGGCCAGGCTCTGGCCTCTGATCTGCTCTCACTGTCCCTCCTTAAATCAAAACTGGTACTCTATGTCGATGACATCCTGCTGTGTAGCCCCTCTTTGGAGACTAGCAGGACTGACACCGCCACCTTATTAAATTTTTTATCCAAAAAGGGCTACAGAGTCTCGCCTTCTAAGGCTCAATTGTCCACCACTCAGGTAACATATTTGGGGTTAACCATAACCCCAACACAAAAGGCTATCACCTTAGACAGAAAGAGACTAATTCAATCTCTTGCAGTTCCTTCCACCAAAGAAGAGGTTCTGTCATTCCTGGGAGTGGCCGGTTTCCTGCGATCCTGGATTCCCTCATTCTCTCTCCTCGCCTGCCCCCTATACGAAGCAGCTCTCGGCTCTATGCATGAGCCCCTCCTTCACCCCATCACCAAACCTTTCCGGAGACTCCAACAGGCCCTTACCCAGGCCCCAGCTCTCCATCTTCCGGATTTAACTAGCCCTTTTTCCCTTTATGTAGCAGAAAGAGAGGGCTATGCCCTGGGAGTTCTAGGCCATCAACTGGGACCTTCCTTCGCACCTGTAGCTTACCTGTCAAAGAAGATGGACCTCACCACTCGGGGCTGGGCACCCTGCATATGGGCCTTGTCAGCTGCGGAACTTCTTATTCATGAGTCAAAAAAGCTAACCTTCAGAGCACCTACTACGGTTTTCTCTCATCATAACCTGTCTAACCTCCTAACTTACAAAGGCCTACAGACCCTACCTCCTTCTCGAGTTCTTTCGCTTCAGGTGGCGCTGGTGGAAGATACGAGTCTCACATTCCAGTGCTGCCCACCTCTCAACATTTCAAATCTTCTACCTCAACCTGGTGCTAATGATTCCCCATCCCATTCCTGCATTGAGGTCCTAGAGGACCTACTGCCCCACCCCTCACATATACAGGAGGGCAGTCTGCCCCAGGCTACTCACACCTGGTACACGGACGGCAGCTCCTTTCTATGTGACGGGACCCGCAGAGCAGGTTATGCCATAGTGTCAGACACAGAGATAGTCGAGGCAAAGGCACTCCCTGCTCATACTACCAACCAGCAGGCTGAGCTGATAGCCCTCACCCGTGCCTTTCAGTTAGCCGCGGGACAATCTTTAAATGTTTACACAGATTCTAAATATGCTTTTCATATCCTGTTGTCTCATGCGGCCATCTGAAAGGAACGCGGGCTTCTCACAGCAAAGGGAGGGTCTATTACCAACTCAGAGCGTATTATGGACTTGCTGAGGGCCTCCTATCTACCTAAAGCTATAGGAATTATTCACTGTCGGTCTCATCAGTCTGACAGTTCTATTGTTTCCAAGGGAAATAACCAGGCTGACAGAGCAGCTAAGACAGCAGCTCTTAGCTCAGACCTGCCTCAGTCACCTCAGGGAGTCCTTACAGCACAGTCCACAACCTCGCAGACACCTCCTAACACTCAACAGATCCTGTCCTACCTACACCAGATTTTTCATCCCAATGAGAAAGCTCTACTTCATTTTGTAAAAACACATATCAAACCCACGCCTGAGGACATCAGGTTTCTAAAAGCCACCACTGCCTCCTGTCAGATCTGCCAAAAGTCAGATCCCAGGACTAAATATCATAGCTTCCCTTTCCCTACCCACCAAGCAAGGGGCTCCCTTCCGGGAACTGACTGGCAGCTGGATTTTACTCATATGCCCACAGTCAGGAGAATTAAATATCTCCTGGTTCTGGTGGATACAATGTCTGGGTGGGTTGAAGCCTTCCCCACCTCTAACAAGAGGGCCCAGACAGTCTCTGATATTCTTCTCCGAGAGATTATTCCTCAGTTTGGACTCCCAACTTCTCTTCAGTCAGATAACGGTCCAGAGTTTACTTCTCAGATTTCTCAAAATCTGTCTAAAGCGCTCGGGATCCCCTGGAATTTTCACATACCGTACCATCCTCAGTCATCAGGTAAGGTAGAACGAACTAACCGCTCTTTAAAGGAAGCCCTCGTTAAGATGTCACAAGAGCTCCACCTCGACTGGGTAAGACTTCTGCCCCTTGCTCTTCTCAGGCTCCAGGCTCTCCCAAAGGGCCCCCTCCTCATTTCACCCTTTGAACTCACGTACAGGCGGCCGGTCTTAACCCCCGGCTTCTCATCGGAGACCTCTCCCCTTCCTGACCACCTGCTCACTCCCCTCCTTTTCCACTTACGCTCACTACTGTGGGACTTCACAGATCACTCACTACCTCGACCATGTGCTAATACATGTCCACCGCCAGTTAAAATAGGAGATGAGGTATTACTCTCACCCCCAGGCCAGCGCCCTTCACCTCTTTCCCCTAAATGGCAGGGCCCTTTCAGAGTAATTCTTCTAACTCCCACAGCTGCCAAGCTTGAAGGAATTCCTCATTGGATTCACCTGTCACATCTTAAACCGTTTATCTCCACAGCTCAAGATAATCCTTCATATACGGTAACTCGAACCGGACCCTGTTCTCTTAAGTTCCAAAGGACGCCGGATTCAGCCCCCCCCCCCCACTACAGTCTAAGGAAAACAATGGTCCCGATCCGTCGCTGTGTTAACACACCCTCCCTTCTTTAAATTCATAAATAACCGTCTAGCTGTTGTTACAGGTACCCCCATCAAATACGGAGTCAAGTGGTAAGCAGATTCTCCTCTACAAAGCTCTTTAACATAACAGGCCAGCCGCTGACTGCAGCAGTGGCCCCTGAAATGTTAAGAAATGTATGGTCAGAATCTATTTCTTTTAAGACAGTTTCTTTAAGCTCCAGGATGCCAGCCCAACCCACCTAAACGAATCAAACACAAACGGAATAATGAAATAAGTATCATTTAATTTTTTATCATTCTTAACCCCGGACATCCTAAGATTCCCTCACTCTCCCCCCCCAAAAAAAAACCCTCACCCTAGTTCCCCCCCCAAAGAATTCTCTTAGATCCCCCCCTTTTTAATATCTCCTTTTACTAATGCAACTTTTGCCTTCCAGCATCTTAATGATGACCCAGCTACTCAGGAAAAGCCACACAGATTTCTTCAATCAGCCACCCCAGACGACAGCCAGGACTTCAAATGCCAGCGGTACAATCAGCCATCCCAGACACCAGCGACCTTGGACACCAGTGACCAACTACACCAGCGACCGCAAATGCCAATGGGACATTGCCAAAATAATCGGACATTTCCTGGACCCCTCAACGCCCAAAGCCAGCAGGAAGCAGCCATGAGAGACCGGACTATGCACCCATTCCCTACCCTTTAAGGTCCCCCAATTTTTTTTTAATCAAACCAAAAGGGTGAAATGTTGTTCTCTTGCGAGACCACAACTCCCAGCATCCCTCTAGACTCCAGCACACACAAGCGCGGAACACATTTCCCAGAAGCCTTTGCATTCCCTGTTAAAAGCAAGGACCGTCATGAGTTCGCCCCTTCTCTTCCCCGCCTTCCCTACCGTGTCTGCCCGCCCCCCTACCTGTTTGTTGCCCCTCCTCCATTAAAGTGCACCCACGTGGGACCGCCACGTGTCTGTGTCTTTTCCTCGCGTAACCGTCTTTGCCCTCTAACCTTCAGCCAAACAGGAATTAAGAACAATAGATGGAACTCATGAAATCACTTAGATACTTGTGTGAGGTGATTGACATCAAAACTACTTTTATGCTTCTCAAATTTCCTTGACATATTTACTGTAGTGTGCTTGACAGTGAGTTAATCTGTTGACACCTTAGTCTGAATCAAGACTGAAAAACTAATTAGAAGTTACTGCATTCTTCACTATCACTAATTACTGGCAGAATATAAGGGCAGTCTGACTTTTTAAAAGTCTTTTTAAAATCAAAATATCAAGGGATTGAAATGAAGAGATGGTTCCCTGGTTAAGAGTGCTCACTGCTCCTGTAGATGACCCCATTTCAGTTTCTAGCACCCAGCTCACAAACACCTGTATGTAGTTCCAGTTCTAGGGACTCTGACTCCCTCTTCTGACCTCCATGACATCCTCACACACTGGTCATACACCCGCACAAATTAACACACCACACACACACACACACACACACACACACAATCACACAAGTCTTTTTTAAATGTCAGTGACATGTAGCTAGACTGGACTTAAACTCATTTCAAAGTTCTTGCCTCAGCACAGCCTCCTAAGCGCTGGGATTACAGATGTCAGACACCTTGAGCAGTTTTTAACCCAGCAAATATTCTTGGATTTAACCTACATAAAACTTTGATGTACTTAACAATGTACAAGCACAAAGAAGAGATCCTGAAACCAAAACATTCAGAATCTCAGAATTCCTCCTGATCAGGACTCAGAGAGAGCAGATGTGATAAAGAGCACCAGTTACAGGAGGAAGAGGTCTCCATAAGTCCCTGGTCTGAGCTTTTGCCTTCAAAGTGTTTGAGATGGGGAAGCCATAGGTTGGAAATTCCCTCCTTGCCTCTTATTCCCTTCTGTAGCTCCTACCCCTGTTGGCTGTCCCCTCTTTCCATCTGGACACATGTTCTCACTCCCACTGCACTTCGAGATTCTGGAGAAAGCCACTCCCAGCCTCTGTGGTATCTCCCCACAAACCACGACGCTATAAAACTCCACAGAGAGAAACAGTGTCTCAATCCCTTCAGGTTTTCCAGACACCAAGGATGGGTGCTGTGGAGCTGCATCCCACCCTCCTGCTGCTCTCAGTACTCCTGGCTCTGACCCAGCCCAAGACCCTGAGTGGCGCTGGTGAGTTTGGTTCTCAAAGAAAAGGGCCTCTGCCTGGAGTAGCCAGGTTGCCTGGCCCAGCCAGCATCCCAAAATCCATTTCTCATCACCTCTCCAGCCCCTTCTACTTCCGCGTCGTGAGCCCCGCGCCCTGATCCCCGCCTGCCCATGCATGTTTCCTGGGGTCCCCGGAGGAGGGTCGGGTCTCACTGCGTACCGCCCCCAGGCACACACTCCTTGCGGTATATGGTAACCACGACCGCGTCTCCAACGGGTCTCCAAGATCTCCAAGTCTTCATTGTTGCCTATGTGGACGACACGCAAATCCTGCGCTTCCATAGTAACACGAAAACTACGATGGAGCCGCTCGTGCCATGGGCTAAACAGATGGGGCAGGATTATTGGGAGTGGGAGAGACAAGATCTGGAGGATTATTCACAGACGGCCCGAAGAAACCTGCGATTTGCAATCCGAATCTATAACCAGAGCGATGACGGTGAGTGAGTGACCCTTAATGTCCCCTCAGACTTGCCTGAATCATCCCGGGTCCCAGGTCCTAGGCTCGGTCCTAGGCTGCGGAGTCTGCAGAGACCCTGGACCCTGGAGGGCATGGGACTGAGACCCGGATTTCAGTTCAGTTTAGGTGGAAATTCTGTGTGTGTGTGTGTGTGTGTGTGTGTGTGTGTGTGTGTGTGTGTGTAGGTGGGGCAGGGCCCTGTGGACGGAGCTGACTTTGGGGGTGGCTGCAGGCTCTCATACCTTCCAGTGTTTCATTGGTTGCGAAGCGGGGCCAGACCGACTCTTGCTACGTGGGCACTATAGACATGCCTTTGATGGCCGTGATTACATCAGCCTGAATGAGGACCTGAGAACTTGGACTGCTGCAGACAGGACAGCTCAGATCACCCAGCAAGAGTGGGAGGCAAAACTTTTAGCAGAGTCCTGGAGGATATACTTGGAGACTCCCTGTGTTGCCTGGCTGCACCGACATCTGGAGATGGGGAAGGGGATTCTGCAGCGCTTAGGTAAGAGGGGCTGAGAAGCCATTCTTACATCTCCTCTCAGAGAAGAGAGCAAGCCTCCAAGAAGGGAGGAAATGGTACCAGCTGAAATACGAGTTGGCTCTTGTGTCTGAAAGAGGGAGGAATGCTCCTGTTTTTTTCTGACCCAACAGAATATGACTCCTTCAGGACTTGCCCTTCTCTCAGGACAGTTTAGGGGACTTGAGATTATAGGAAAGAAGATCTCTGAATAACCAAAAGCAGCGCAGTTCAGTCTGCAGCCCTTTGTTAATCGTGGTCTCCCAGAGACTGAGTTCTCTGCCTACATGCAATGTCTTTGGAGATCTCACTCAAACGATGATGAGGCTCTTACTCTGTAAGTCAGGACCAGAATTCCTCCATTCATGGTGGGAAACTTGGGAATATTCCTTTTGCAAGAAATAGATTATACTAGTGCCTGAGTATAAGACAACTTGTGTGGGGTTTGCACACATCTTGATTCTTCTGTACATTGCCAAGACAGACACACAAATACTGCTTAAGACCCCAGAAAAAAATATAAAGTATTGAATTTTCCAACTCTTCTTCTCAGACCCTCCAAAGGCACGTGTAACCCATCACCCTAGACCTGAAGGTGATATCACCTTGAGGTGCTGGGCTCTTGAATTCTACCGAGCTGAAATAACCCTGACCTGGCAGAGGGATGGGGAAGACCAGACCCAGGACATGGAACTGGTGGAAACCAGGCCTGCAGGAGATGGAACCTTCCAGAAGTGGGCAGCTGTGGTGGTGCCTTCTGGGGAGGAGCAGAGATACACATGCCATGTGCAACATGAGGGGCTGCCTGAGCCTCTCACCCTGAGATGGGGTAAGGAGGGAGTGGGTACACAAAACCTGATGTCAAGGAAAGCAGGTGATCTTCTGGAGACCCTAAGTAGAATCAGTTCTGATTTGGGGCTTAGGGCCCCTCAATTTTAATCTCTCTTCCCAGAGACATCTCCTCAGCCCATAAATGGAGTGATAGTTGGTGTGGTTCTCCTTGGAGTTGTGGTCCCTGCAGCTGTGGCTGCCATTGCGATGCTGAGGAAGAAAATCACAGGTAGGGAGGGGATTGGTGTCTGAGGGTTTTCTATAGAAATGTGCTCATCTCCTGTCTTGTTACTGTGAGACACACCCCTGTGTGACTGGTTACCTAACCTGGGACTCAGTGTACTGGCAGGTTTTTGTTTGTTTGTTTGCTTGCTTGCTTGTTTTGAAAACAAGGTATCTTTACATAATCCTGGCTGTTCTGGAAACTACTATGTAGGCCAGGCTGGCCTCAAACTCTGAGATCCACCTGCTTCTGTTTCCCATGTGTTAGGATTAATCTTGTGTGCCACCATGCCCGGTTGTGCTAACACTTTTTAAAGTCCAGGACTACGAAAACACTAGAACATCATTATCCTGGGTCTATCAATCATTTATTTCCCTGATGTAGTCACTCAGATAACTTTTCCAGGAATCTCCTTTCATCATTGTATTTCCACCTTCTCCCATCTTCTCCCAGCTCTGAGCTCTCTCTACACATTAAGGGAACACCTAGTAAGGATGCAGAAAGGAAGCAGAGCAAGTCCCTCAGCCACTCTCCCTTTCCCAACATTCCTGCAGCTGGGCACCACAGGAGTCCTCCTCAGCTCCCCCCAGCTGAATGAGCACATGGTGAGAAGGAAAAGCTGGAACCGCAGGAATGAACTGGGCTGGGGTATCACTGGCACATCCAGTTCCCAGAGTAGCAGGAAAGCTGTCCCACAGAGACCAGCTCCAGGGCATCAGTGATTCCTGTGCTCAGAGGATTCCTGTGGGACCTGATGTTGATGGACTTGTCAGTTCTGTTCCCAGCTGTGAAGCCTTGGATTTGGTTCATTGGCTTTTTCCAAAATAAAATAATCACCAATCCTCCAATACCACATATTAAATTCTTTTTTTTTAAAGGATAAGAATTTGGATTCTATTATTTATCTCTAAAAGTAAGAAATCAGTCTAGGGAATTTTCAGATAGTAGCCAGTCAGAGTCTCTATATAATTGTTTCCTGTATTTCCTCTCTGAGGCTGCATCTCATGGGACAGAAAAAGTATGTATCTGTCAACATGACAACTCAGGAATGATCATGTGTATTCTCCCTTGTCTCTCTCAACCTTTCCCCCAAATGGAATGCCCACATAAACCCTTTTCCATCATGGATGCCGTTCTCAGTACTACCATCAGTGGCCATAAATCTTGTGCTAAAATACTCAGACTCTTTTCAGATCCCTCGTTTACATTGCTCAGTATGTAGCCCAGGACTCACTCTTCCCTTTTCTGTTTCTCTGTTACCAGCATCTTACACTGTGTCCCAGGCTGGCCTAGAACTCACTAAGTAGCTGTGATGGCCAATCTTCAGTGTCAGCTTGACTGGGTTTAGAATCTCCTAGGAGATCCAATTGTGGTCACATCTGTAAGAGTGTTTCCAGAGATTAATTGAGGTTGGAAGATCCAACCTGAGCCCCAAGGATAAAGGAAGAAGAAGAGAAAGCCAGATGGGAGGATCTCTATACTCCCTGATCTACTGAAGTTTGTGAAATCCCAGCCACATGCTCCTGCTGCCATGTACTGCATTAGGCATTATGCTGAGAGTGACTGTGCCCTCTTAAATCATGAATCAGAATAAATATTTCTTTAACTTGTTTTAGCTGAGTATTTTGTCACTCAATGAAAAATAATTAATAAAATTCATATGGGCTTTTGTTTTTGTGAGGTTTTGTTTTGATGTTTTTTTGTTGTTGTTGAAACAGTCTTACTATGTAATCTTGACTGGCCTGGAACTTGCTATACTTGTAGACCAGGCTGACCTTGAACTCAGAGAGGTCCTAGGAGAGGAGGCACCAATCTTTGCCCAGAGTGCTGTGATGTGGGATTCCACTCTGTATGTTGTGATATGCTTTTTTCCCTCACTGGTTAATAGAAATTGCTTGGTCCTATGACAGGGAAGAATACAAAATGGCAGGAATTCCAAACAGAGATAGATGGAGAAAGTAGGCAGAGTCAGTGATAAGCTATGTGCTTCCTGCAGGAGACAGATGCCAGACACTAGATAAAACCTTACAGTAGGCCACAACCATGTGGTAATACAGAGATGAATAGAAATGAGCTAATTCAAGATTTAAGAGCTAGCCAATAAGAAGCATAAGCTAATAGGCCAAGCAGTGTTGTAGTAATACAGTTTCTGTGTGATTATTTCAAATCAAGGTGGCCAGGAATGACTAAGCAGCCTTTACCAATGTATTGGCATGCCAACATGGGTAACTACATCCACATAAAAATCTGAGAGATCTTGAAAAGAAATTCTAGACACAAGCACACACAGAGTATAGCGCAGCTTCCTGGTAGCTGCATTTTTTTTCAGATGGGCTCTGCTGATTTGAAGCAAAGACACGGCTCCTTGAAAAAGTATCCTGACTTAGCTTTAGCCTCAAGAACTGCATTGTTTCTTTAAAGGAAGGCTTCATTCTAGTTGGACAAACCAGCCCTGGCTCTGTCAGGAGGCTGAGCACTTAAATGGGGTCTGTGAGCAGCGTGTTACAGATTGTTTAATGATGGCATAGACCTTCTGTGGCAATGGAGCTGGGGCAGTATGCATAGCTCTCAGAGGTAGTGAACATGCCTCCACCATGTTGGACTGGGCAGAGCCAACAGGCAGGGCCCTAGAGTTGGTCCTAGCTATGTCTGCTTAGCATTAAAAAAAATGTTCCTGGTCAAAAAAATAATTACAGATATGTACACAATAAAGACAAATTCAGATAAAAAGACCTCTAAATAGGTCACAGTGTTGATAAGTGTAAGTAGGCTTGAGAGAGAGAAAAAAAAAGAGTACAGATAGTTATAATATAAAAGAGTACAGACAGCCATAGATTAAAAGAATAAAGATAATAAAATAAATATTAAACTTGTAGAAAAGCAATAAAGAGCAATAAGCCATGTAAAGATGGAAAATACACAGAGAGTCTGGATTATTTATATTATTGTGTTTTATTTAAATTTTTGGCATTTGATTCTGGAGGCTGCTAAGCTAAACCAATACACACACACACACACACACACACACACACACCACACACACATATATACTTTAAAGGTATCTTGACTTCAAAATTTGGGTCCAAGGATATGTTGCTTCGGAAAAGAGGGTCTGCTTTTGTTTCCACAGAAGACAAGAACCTGTGGATTCTTTCCAGACTAATGTGGTTTGATGGAACAAAGCCCCCTGAAAGGCTCTGTAAACTCCTAAAATTACTTCACACAGCAGGAAGCAGTTTGGAGAGAACTATGCTCAAATTTCTAAATACTGTTTATAAATGTTTGTTTGCATTTAAAGGGGGCTATGATATAGAGATGAATACTTTGCATTGATATGGACCTTGGTCTATTGATACAAATTTAAGATCAATTATGTTATATGTATACTTCGGCTCTTGATTAAGGTATTGATTTTGTACAGCTCATTTAAAAATGTAATGTATAATTAAGAAATACAGGTTAATAGATAATCATCTATAATAGTCAAGTGTGTAGTCATGTTAGGTTTTCAAAACGTACAAAGATATATTTCAGTTGGATAGATAATCTTCAACACTTTCAAAGACCTACAGAATATGGCATTTAAAATGTTTTAAGAACTTAGGACTTTCCATGACAATGAGAAACATCTGACCTTGGCAGTACCAATCTACTTCATTAGGATGATGAGCATTGAAGAGGCTTCTTAAAGAGTTGCTTAGCAATTTTGGGCAAGGAACTGCTCTTGCCTGGACTACTTGATGTTATACTGTATGAACTGGACATTCAGGACCCACAGAAAAATGACTGCTGAACTTGCCTAAAGAAGGTGAGTCAGTCCTTCAGGGTTCCTGCTTTATGAAAGAGTATGTCAGACATTCTGCAAGACACAGAAGAAAGTGACTGACAAACTGCTAATACAGGCAAAACTGTCTTTGAAATTTCCTGCTTTGTGGGAAAGTCTACTCAATACTATGTGCCTGTAGGCTGAAGATTGAATACCCCAATGGTATAGAAGATCTCTGGGTGACTGTCCAGACAGCAAGATGTCTCTGTCAATTCTAGAGTTTTGGGAGTTGCTTACAATGTACTTCCTGTTAACATAGAAATAATATATCCTTCTGGAGTCTTTGATGGAGTTGAAGAATAGATAGTTATAATAATAGTTTTCTTTAGTTATAATAAAATATAAAGTAGATATAAATATTGTAACTGTAATTGTTGCTTGATACCTGTTTTGTTATATGTAATTTTACTATATTAAAGTTAAAACTTTCTTTTCTTTTTAGACAGAAAATGGAAAATGGTGTGGGAAGTCCTTGAATATATGTACTGCTTTTATTGGTTAATGAATAAAGAAGCTGCTTGGGCCTATCACGGGCACAATAAAGAAGGGCAGGAATTCCAAGCAGAGATAGAGGGAGAAAGTAGGCGGAGTCAGTGAGAAGTTGATGCTGGACAGAACCTTACTGGTAGGCCACAACCACATGACGATACACAGATAAATAGAAATGTGTTAATTTAAGATGTAATAGCTAGTCAATAAGAAGCATAAGCTAATAGGCCAAGCAGTGCTGTAATAATACAGTTTCTCTGTGATTATTTAAAATCTGGGAGGCCAGGAATGAACGAACAACCTCAGACAACAGAGCTAGGATTAAAAGCCTGTGTCATCAAGCCTGACTATTTTTCTCATTAAGATAACCAAAGGATTCCTCTGCACAGGTCTAGAAGCCTTCTAGACACAAGCCCAGAGCTGTGCATACATCCAGATGTGTGCTCTAATGAGATCACTGAGCACTGGAGAGGCCAGTTTCAGTTCTGTTCTGTTTCTCACCTACTATTAACATTCCTTTGGTGATTTTTATTCATCTCCAAGGTTTTAAATACCATTTATGACCACCTCCCAAATAATTTCTCCAGCCCAGGCATATCTCATCTCCAGGTTCATCTGTCCCAGTCAACCTGGTTGCTTTACGTGCATTTCCCTGTCTGCAAACAGCAAATCTACTCTGCTGCCTCTGCAGTCATGAATTTTTGTTACCACCTT